GAGCCCAGTGCACGTTCTCACAGATGGTGCTATGCCTTTCCATGAAACAGCAGGCACATTTTATTTAAGACAAATCTAAAAATATTTTTGTCATCCACAAAAATTATACAGCCTAGAACCAGGGGATATTTTGAAAAACTCATTTCTTTCACAAAGTGAGGACCTCAGATCTTGTACCTGTTCAGATCCACAAAATTAACACCATAAATAACTCTTAGGTGATACGACATTACTACGCTTTCCAAAGGGTTTCACAAGACCTGTGACAGCAACAAGATTTTAACAGTGGAATATCAACTATTGTTATTAATACATTTTAGCTCATTAATATTATTTTCCTTACTGGGCACCTGCCATGCAGAAACCATATTTCTTTTGCTGTTTTTATTAAATTTTGGATAAACAAAAATGTATCATTTTTTTCTTAATGAGAGCAACTTTTTACCGTGACTCAGAATCAAAACAAACATTTAACTTGTCGTGAGCAATTTCATTTGTTTTTGTTCCCTGCTGTGCTGGAAACATGCTTTGTGCTTGCTCTCAGTCAGGTATAACAACAGTTTGTCAGGTGGCACAACATAATGCAAATATTATAGTTACAGATTGGCTGTTCCCTGCTGCCATTCACTTCGTGGTTTAGATCCCTCGTCATTTACGAATCAAAATGTTTATGCACTCAATTATAATGCTTTCAAGTGAGAATAAAGGGTATTCCATTATTCTCAAGAGCACTGTGGAAACATTTGTGTGTAAAGTACTGTGATACCCTAAATCCCCTCAGTTTCATATTTCTCCATGTCTCACTGCAGCAGAACATCTCACAGTGGTCTAACATTTAGAGAGGGGTTATGCATGCACACTAGATCAGAGCTTTGTAATTCACAGAGGGACTTTGTCCAAGTTAAAAAATTGCTGAAACGAGTCCCTGAACTTTTTGTCACCCACAACAACAACGCAGCAAACTGCCTCCTTTTGCTTAGCCAGAGCGTCTTGGTCAAATACCACACAGAAAATATCCTGCTACTAGCTCCGCCCAAAGATGCACATTTCACCTGGGTGATGAATCAAGAGAGCTAAACACCTTGCAGAGGAAGACTGGTACAAACAATAGGAGCACAGGGCTGAACTTTATCAAAGTACAGGCAAAGAACAGGTTATTACGATTATAAACACACACGCGCATGTGTTGGGAAAGGAAATTAGATGTTTTCCCCACAGTGGCCAGAACATGAGCCATAATATCAGCCTATTGTATTGTTTTGCCCAAAACCCACAGCCTACCAGGCTGAGGAGAGGGTGCTCAGTAGATAACCCCCAGCGTACTGTCAGCTCCTGCTGACATTCCCAACACCACCAACCTCAGGCATCTAAAGTGCTGTGTCTGCTCCTGGTCCAGTGCGCATTCTTGGGTGATGGAACAAGGGTACATTCTGGATTTTCATCAGCTAAAAGACAGTAATTAATCTTAATTCTCTTCTTCTCCCTGAAAAGTAGAACTTCTGTAGCTCGAGGAAAACCAAGAGCTATCCATTGTTCTGTGGCAAATTAATCTTAAAGGGGGAATCTTCCAAAGAAAATCAATAGCTTATAAAAAGATTCTGTATTGTGTTTGAGCCCTGAAACTCAAACCAGAACCAAAGGGTACTTTCAAACAAGTTTGCTCTTTTTGTGCTTTGTTTGCAATCCAATGTCGTCATTTGAAAAAGTGAGATTTTCACATACGAGCAATTTTAGTTCTGTGTGGCTTCACCTTCCTGGAAGACTCTAGTGATATTTAATACATGTATTTCAGGCAACTTAAAAGAAATTTTTCTCTAAAGAAGGAATTTAATAGAGAATTATATATTTTATCCTGCATGTAATATTCTATGTCAAAGACATCTTTATTCATTTGTACTTTTCTAAATTAGTCTGTTCCATACAAGAAACTTTGAAAATTATGTCTCCTTACATGGTCAATCTTCTTTTTTAAAAAAAAAAAGAAAAACCTAGTAAATTTAACCATGGTTCCATGGAAACAGCTTTAAAATTAATTTGGGTGCAGGGAGGAAGGATACAACCCTAACACAGAGAAAGTGACAGGTTTCAGAAGAAAAAAAAGTCTGCCTTGATTCAGCACTGGGATCTCTGAGAAACAATAATGCATAGCAAGGCAAGGGGAGCTTCTCAAGCTATACTGAAGCAAGATTTCTCAAGCACATTCTCCAAAACAGTTCAGTACCAAACTGAGATGCGATTAGGAGAGGCAGAATGGGGCAGAGGCATACAAACCCACAGGAATGGGAAACCTGAAATTAAAAACACTTGAAAGCACTGGTAAAGGATTCCAGAGTTCTCAGACTTTTATTGCAAAGCCAGGGCAACACAGGGGTAGAGAAACAATTATAGATCAGCAAAGGAAATAACTATTCTAATTTCTAATCAGTTCAAGTCTGTTAACTCATTCCCACAAATACCTATCGACCGCCTGCAGTCTGGGTGTGTGTTTTGTACAGAGTGAGTCGCGTCTCTTTCTTACATCGAGAGGTCTCCAGCAGAGCCAGGACACTTTTATGTGCCGAGGCCCACGTGTTATGCAAGACTAGAAGGGCACTGGGCAGTAGGCTCCCTGCAGTGAGCCTGGGACAAATACCCTATATGTGCTCATATATACTTCAGGAGTTTTACTTCCAAAAGTCCCATCAGTAAAAATGAGAGTTTGGCATTGACTTAGGGCTTCCATGGGTGAAAGGAGAATTTGGTCCTTACTTTTACCTGTTCCTGCACTAGACATTTTGGTTTGTCAGATAAACTAAGTTAAGCTAATTCACTTTTATTCTGGGACTTTGTAAGGAAGAAATTCTAGTCTAAAGCAGATTCCATCACTTGTTTCCTCAATAATTCACGAGTTAGTTTGGCTGCCAGAGTGAACAGCTGTACATAAAAAGAAAAATATATTACTAAGCCTAAAAATTTCAGTGAGTGCACAGTCCCCCAAACCATGATGTTATCAAAGTTCAGTAGTACCACAAAGTGATGACTAATGAGCCTATAACATCTATGCGCTATAGAGTAAATGCTGTCATTAAGTCTTCACAAGACCTTTAGAAAACATCCTGCTTCCTAGCTGTCAGAATTTAGTAGATTACTTCACTGGCTACTTTGACATTTTTACTTTTTTGTTCCTATTTGGTTTGTTTGCTTGCCTTAAAAAACACCTACTGTGTGAACTATAAAAAGGTCAACCAATGGTTCTCATGACAAAAGTAACTGAAATTAAAACATTACAGGAGTAATTTTGACCCTTACCTTATTCTTTTGGTCTGTGAACCGTTAGCTGTAAATAGCAGAGCTACGTGCCAAAGATCTAATCTTACTAATACAAATATTCTCTTTCCTTTCAGAAGTTCCACTGCCCCTTTTCACATCAATGTCCAAGCACTTCAGCAGCATCACTAAGTGATTTGGGGGGCAGTGGGAGGACAATGCTTGGTGGATTTTTATATTAGGAAAGCTCATAATTTGTGATTCTGAGTAATTTACTTATAAGAGGAATACATTTTGCAGTCAGGGCAGAGTGTAGGAAGTAGAACTGTCTGAACACTCCCAGAGTTTAGATGCATCATATATTTCTCAACTTCTCATAGACTGAGATAATAATGGCATAGGTTACACATAAAATGGGATGCTGTTGTAATTCAGATCACTACTAGTACAGACGTAGGTAGACAAACGTATTCGGATGGCAAAGCAAGGCTTTATCTTTGCAACTTGATTGTGCACTGTGGGTATTATATGGAGGTCCATACTTGCATCATCCTTGCTATTGTATTTCACTACTGAAGCACCAGACACTGCATTCATCCAAAACACAAAGTCACCAATGCGGGCAACTAAACCCCATTTCAGCGGTTTTTGTGGTGGGGTTTTCCTGATTATAAACATGGAAAGCACACTATGATGAAATTTCTTTACTGGCAGTATTAAGCTTTGGCCATTTGTACAGCTAAAAAGACTACTAGATGTAGATCAAGTTAGTACTGATCTTGTTCACAATATGTAAGTCCAGAAATTTCAATGTAGAGCCTTTAGATTTACGGCAGCACACGGAAGACACACCTGATTTTTAAATACGAACATCGGGCTGCTACAATTCTGAAAACACCAGAATAATGACGTTACTTTTCTAATTGACATCTGAAGACTAAGAAATATGTCTTTAGGCTAAATAAAGCTAACTAGGCTTTCAAATTCTTAGAAGTATTTAACTGCCTCATGAGTTAAAGTTGTTCGTCTTTTTAAAAAAAAGTGAGGCTACAAATTGCAATATAAATGGTAACAGTGTCTAGTGATGCCAGACAAATGAAATACCATTGTTATGGGTAAGGCATTTACATATGCAGGGAGAGAGTTGAACTGTGCCTTCATAATTTAAAAATTCCAGCAAATGATCAAACTAAAAAGCAGAAGGAAAGCTGTAGGAGCTAAGGAGAACCTGGTTAACAATAATACAGTAAGTGCCTAACTGTAGGAGCTTTGGTAACTAAGTTTGTAAAATCTGGAGCCAATGAATATTAGTATTCTGAATTTAGCAAGTGCTGGTTTAAACATTTCTAAACCTATATCCCATATGTTTCTTCAGCTATTTCAATCCCTGACTCCTCTGGGTTTGGCCTGAGGCTGAAAAGTACAGATTACTTGATGCCCATGGCAAGTGCTGCTGCAACAGGGAAATTATGTCAACCCCTGCAGTGCAATTCATAACTTGATGTGGGTAAATTCACTTACTGGCAATTTAGAAGAAAACGTGCTGGTACTGTGCCAGTTGGAGCCAGATGGTGACTGAAATCATTAAAATCATGCGTGCTGCAAACCACTGAAAAATTGCACAGTTACAAGATATCCAAAGCATGGATGAGATCCTAATACAAACCAATTGGTGTATAGAGAGTAGTTGCAAACAGTGTATGGTCTGATTTGCTACTGTTTGATTGTAGTCTTTCCCCTTCCTTGTTTTCTAGGTTCAACTAATCCACTATAACCATGAGCTGTACACAAATGTCACAGAAGCTGCAAAGAGTCCTAATGGGTTGGTGGTAGTTTCCATATTTATGAAAGTAAGTATTCAGTATTATCAATACCTAATACGTAGACAATGGACTTCTTTTCCCATGAGCTGTAAATCTAGGAATTGCACTCCTCGTTGTGCTCCAACAATCCCTAGAGGCTCTGATCTGGAATCTGGAGACACCATCATCGTGCGAACTGAACACACAATCTCTACTCCAATGCATTTGCAGTGTAATGCAAGGAAGATGAAAAGGGACGAGGAAAGGGGGGGGAAATCCTTATATCCCAAACATCACTCATAACACTTTAATGGCTATGACAAAAGTTACTAATTTTGCAGATTTGGTATTTCTTCATGAAACGTTATTCGTTCAATTAAAAGTAAATCTCTCCCAGTAGGTTGAGGCCCTGGGAAATAGGGCATGTTTGCTCGTTGAAGACATGCTGGTGTTTCAAAGTCAGCAAAATAATTTTTTTTCCGCACAATGTTATATAAAACATCTTAAAACTATCAGAACTGAAAGAACATTAAAAGTATAAATCTTAATTTCTCCCATTTCACAGAGCTAGAAACACATGTGAATATTTTTTCATATTTTAGTCTCCATCCTGTAGGTGTTCAAGATGCATGGTTAGGTCTATAAATTACAGTAATCTAGCACTGAACTCGATACTTAATAGTTTACTCAAACCTCCCTAATTACATTAGAGAAACCTTTTCTCTCATTTCATATGAAGAATGCATTTCCCCCAAGAAATGTTCATATTCTTCTATTATGTTTCTGTTTCATCAGTCTAAAAAAACACATATTTCTGAAGTGCTTCATACTGAAATAAATAGCTTTTATCATCAGACCTTAGTACTGGATATCTGTTAATTCCCTTTAGCACTCTAATCCCATTTCATGGGTAAAGTTCCTGACAAACCTCAGAATTAAAATATGCAATTCGGAAACCATTCTGAATAATTAGGTATGAAAATTGCCCTTTTACACAGGTCTAATATTTAAGAAAGATATTTAGGTTAGCTTTTTCTCATCCAAAATCTATTGTATTTCAATTGTTTGACTTGAATTTGTGCAAAAAATATAAAGTTGAAGCAAACCTTCAAACTGCCCAGCATGCCAGTTTAGTGTAAACACTAATGTACATCACTCATGTACTTGCTGAGTTGCACATCTCTTTTAACAAGCAACAAAATTTGGAATCTGCCTCACCATATTTTTCTCTAGGCCTTTCTCACTAGCATGAAAAGATACGTTCTTTTTTAAATGTCCAAAGGAGTTAGAAAAACAACTAAGTGGAGAAGCTATCTGAATTTCCACAAAATGGAACCTGAACTGAATTTTCCTGAAGGCTGCCTGTCAAACACAGCTGGATTACAGTTTGTCCAATAGGCCATTTATTTTCCTAAATATTAGTTGAACTTTTTGTGAAGTTTTCCTTTTCTGAAATAAATTTATTTCATTCTGGATAAATGCTAGATGTATAACAGCAGCATCCAGTGTTTGATTAAAAAAAAAAATAATCACAGAATAATTACAAGATAAGTAGGATATTAGAAGGCTTGCTACAGAGTTACTGAAATGTCTCCATAAAAAAAACATGAAACCGATTTTGTTGCTAACCAATAATAATTTTTCTATTTACAATGCAATAAAATCTCCCGTTAAATTACCGTTGATAATTAACAATATTGTTGATAGAGTACATACACCCCCACACACAAAACACATAACTCAACAGCAATGCTTCTAAGCCCTCTCTTATTTTTCCTCTTAATGCTCTTTAAGTATGCTTATGTTAATATAGGCTGAACTTTTTATGTGTATGTATACACGTATGTACGCACAATTCTGAGTGCACGTGTGTGAAATCCAGGCATTTCACACCTGTGTGTAAAACAGTGGGAAGACAGATCTTATTTACAATCTAAATAATCTACTGCAAGGAAAGTATATTTCTCAATAAACAGAAAAATTATAGAATACTACATGAAAATCATGCTTAATTATAATAACCACCTGTAAATCCCATCAAAGCTGTTGGAGAAGAATCCTGTACTCACACTTGTATTCAAGCATTAATTCCTATTCATCCTGTTCTCCCATACCTGGTTTGGGGGATTTATTTTTAGATATTATCTAACATGTTTTGTTAGAAATATATCTAAGTAATTATTTCCTCTTCCCACAACGGTGAAAAAAAGGCAGAAACAATTTCAAGGAGTGGTAGGAAAGAGAGAGTAAGTGTGCGTGTGCGTGCCCACGCAGAACAGCTACATCTCCAGAAAGGAAATGTTTGTGAGAAGATTTTGACAGTGTACGTTTTCTCTCCTGTAGGTATCTGAATCATCAAATCCATTTCTAAATCGTATGCTTAACAGAGACACCATAACGAGAATAACATATAAAAGTAAGTTGCTTTTTAATTTACTATGGCTAACAGCTGTATGCTTTTAGTATCAAATAACATTATTTAGCAATCCACTGAAACAAGATGCACTTCATTATGAGCAAAAATTACAAAGTTTGCATTGCCAGCAACTCTACATGAGAAACTTGGGAACCTGAATAATCTGGTGAGGTCATCAGGTCATCAAATGAATTTTGAACTTCAATGTCTATTTTATGTTTGAACAAGCAATGAGTTAATGAAGTTATACTTAATAGATACGTATACTGTATTCACACGGAATACCCAGGAGAAACTGCATACTGTTAGCACTAAAAGTAACAGGAGGACCACCCTGGATTATACCTAATCAAGTTATGTCAAGATATTGCATCATTAACTGTAGATTTAGTATTCACTAATGCTTTCTTTTTTGTACAAAAAAGTTATGACATTTCTATGCAACAATTGCTCTCTTTAGTGGATATATAAAGAGGACATTAACATAGCATGTATATTTGTTGTATTCACATTTGGAAAGCCTTTAACTGATGATGCTCAATAATTCCATGTTAGTATACTGAAATTGTGGAAAACCAGAGCTAAAGTGTCAGTGAAAATTAGGCTACTTTAGAGAAAATAATGAAAAATACATATATCTCAATGGAACAAATTAAACCTTTTCTCCTGAAATCTTTATTCCCTTTGTCAAATAATCACTTGAATTCCAAGTAGCCATTAAGTTAATAAAAGAAGTTAAACGATACCAGAATTCAACTTTCAGAAAGTACATAGCAAACTGAAAGAATAAGTATTGTAAAACTCAGCCTCCATTTTTTATTCTGGAAACTATGACTTAACATTTGTCATTTTGCTTTTGTTTATGAAATCTGGGAGAGAGTTGTTCACAATAACTGGAATGAGACTGGTTGTCAGAACTCCAAGATTTTGTTCACAACTCTACCAGAATTTGCTTTAGTTTACCTCTCTGGAAATTAAATATATTGCACTGTGTACTCTACAACAACCTAGCGTTACCCGGAAAACCTTGCATCTGAAACTCGCGAGATCTCAAATGTCTATTTAGCTTCAACGAGTCACCAAACTTCAGGTTTATGATGGAAGGTTTGGAAAGATTTCTATACGCGTCTCTAAAGCACATAGTCTGATTTCTTTCCACGGTCTCCATCTTTTCCCCCTTCCTGCAAAGCCAGGATTGTAAAAAGAAAAAGTGTAAATCTAAGACCAATCTAAAGTGAAAGCACAGATTTTTACCCACTAATTCCTGATTAAGAGAGCACTAGAAAGATTTTGAGTCTTGCCATACAACACAGACTTTGAACAATGGAGCCAATCCAGCCCCATTCTGAAGTGGACAGTTTCTTGTCCTCTCCTATAACAGACACCTTTCTTCCCACTAACGTTCCTCTAGTTTCACCTTACAGTTAACGAATCTTGTTACGTCTTTGGTCCAAATAAGAGGTCTCTAGTGTGATAAAACTCTGTTCCTCCATGATACCTGTAAGAAAGGCAGGTGAGAGAGGTGTCCCCATAGAACATTTTTTCCAGATTGTTCTATCAGTATGAATACTGATACGTATGAAGTATGAATATTTCCATCCTCTGCATGGAAGAAGCAGGAGATTAGCCCAGGTTTTAAGGTGCCTGTCTTGGTTCCTTGCAAAAACACAGCAACACTGTTCTGTAAGAGCTTCCTGCCTGCTGCTGCAGCACCCTGGAAACAGGACATTATCGTTAAGGCTGGCTTTTACAGGCTCTTTGCTCCCAAACTACATATTCCCAGCTTCTGTCTGTGGACCAGCTAGAAGATCTCCGACTGTACCATTGAGCAAGCTGCTTTTCCCCATGTACGCACACACAGACCTGCCAGGTCTCAAACACTGAATAAGAGAAAAGTCCTGCCTCATTTTTCCCATCACAGCAGCTGTATCCCATGCATTTACATGAGTGTCACAGTCTTTTTTCCTGCTTGGCCCTGCATGCTACAACGGCTGGCCAGAAGAGCAAAGATTGGACAACTTGTGGTGGCTCAGAGCAGAGGAGAGGCCATGATTAGGGATATACAGCTCCACAGGGCAGGAAGGCACCGGCAGCCTCTTTTGCTCGTTGCATGAGTGAGCGTGCAACCATCGCCCATGCCAGCAGACACGCATAGCTTCCAATACAAAATATTTTGTTCGTATGTTGCAGTTATAAGTGGGCACTCCACTTCTCTGGAGCTGACAGCATCCTACAACCTTTCATTGGTTCTTCGCCTCTTTAGAAGGAAAATGCAATTCCAATCACATCTAATTTGAGTTTACTAAATAAAATTTTGCATGAAGATAAACACATAATATAGGCTGCAAAATCAACAATTAACAGAACTGTTTTAATTCTTAACCACTGTTTATCTGTTAAAATGAAATCCTTGGTAGATGCACAGCACATAATATTCTGCAGGGTATTGGGTTACTCACTGTAGTACTGTAAGTATCGAGTGGGAATTTTTTTGTGTAAATTGGGAACGTGGAAGTGTTAGTGAAAGTAATTTTGCAGTTGTCCTGTGTGATGGATTATAGCACCATTGCTGAAAACTAATTTTACCTCTTACACTGTGAGGATTTCTACTCTGCCTTTAGCAGCTGGAGTTTTTTAGCTTGTGCTTTAGGGGTCCACTCATGAAGTCAATACGCAGCAGGCTGCTGACAAAATGGCCAGTCCCAGTGTGCTCGATGGGGACCGTGGAGTGAATGAGTAGTGGAGCATAGGTTCAGAGTCAGGACAGTTTGTAACATAACTAAAGTTTGGGTTTTTTTAAAGAACAGCAACAAAGTTAAGAACTGTCTATGCCGCTGCATGAAATTTCCATGAGCAAAATGAATTAAAAGGAGAATTTCTACTCTTAGATAGTAATGGTTACAGTGAAGTAAAGTGGACCCCAAGGAATTTATAAGCAGATTTTAAATGCTTATTTTATTCTGTTACGACAGGCAAAAGAATCTCCTGTGAAATAGTTGAAACAAGTGTTCTTTTAAACAGGCATTAGTCAGAAGTTATATGAATATCTCTAAAGAAAAACTGCTTTAATATTCCTCTTTAAGTATGACATTCAAGGGAATAAGTTAGCTTTCTTTCAGAACAGTTATGCTACATTAACTTTCGCCCAGTGTTTGCTTAACATTGGAAAGAAATTACATTTTAAATTCCCAAAATTCCATATGAAAATTTGGGCTTGTCATTCTCCACCAAAATACTGCCACCTGTTGAGGTAGACAGAAGAGCTGTAAAAGTCTGCATTTCCTCAAATTCAATCTTTAGCTACTTTATAGATAACGTACAAGTTAATAAAATCCGATTTTAAGATACTATCCTGAAAAAGCTCAAGATTCAGATTTCTGGAAGTAAGAGACTATTTTTTCAAGGTTCATGTTTCAGTGCATTCTTTGAAGGACTGAGCTCTTGCGGCTCCTGTCTCAAACCAGGCCCCAAGGGACAACCCTCAGGTACACGAAATGAGTCTGTCAGTCTGGGTCCATGTGACTTCTGAAGGCTGGTAGAAGGAGAAATTCTGTTTCAGGATTAAAAAAAGCTAAGGGCCTCTACATTCCTTACCCTGTAAATCTAATCTAGTTAGAACCCTACTTTCCCTTTTTGGATTATCATTATATGAACTTCAAAAATCAAAGGGACCTTCCTTCATTCAGTAAATAATATATTCTCTATGAATACTATTGTTTTAAAGAGAACACACATAGAATTTGCTGTGAAAGCAGTCCCTACACACCTATTACAAGTCTAGGGATAAAAGAAGAGGATTTCCATCATTTGATAAGAAAATTATCAGTCAAGGCCTTTATGCAAATTAATGTGAAAACTGATGGAATCTAATTTGTATAGAGAAGAGTTCATGAGTTCAGAAATCGCCCTAAGGCACAAGCAGATCAAGATAAACAGAATGTTAGCTGTAGATAGGAATGATGCTGAGAATCTAGTAAATGCTGGATGGGTTTATTAAAGGAAGTTTATTACTGTCCAGAGATCACCCATGTTGATTTTGTCCATTTTGAACTACATACTTGCAATAAATAGGACAAGACGTTAAAGTGTTGCAGTCCAGTATTAATGCAAACTCACCAGTTCTGTTTCAATTCCAAAATGGAAAATCTTTATCAAAATATGGGGAAGGGAAACAGCAGAGCTGTTCCCAGGAAAAAAAGTTGGTAACCAAATGCTTATTCTGTTATGTCTCCTTAAATATATTCCAAATGAAGAGAGAGTCAATGGACCAGGTTTGGAGCCACTTCGCTGCTGGGTGCTGGTGGGGGAGATGGCCACATGTTTTGTAGGTCCTCAGTATGCAAACAAGGTAACCTAAGCAGGTGATCTGAAGCTCAATAAGGCCAAGGACAGAGCATCTCTCCTGATCTCGAAAGCACTGGAACAGGTTGGGCTTGCCTGAAGGAGTAGGCGGACCATGCCCCACACTGCTCCCACAGTGTTACATGCAATATTCCACCCCCAGAGTGTTATCGTGTTCTGAGAGTGACTAAACACTGTAAATCCACAGACAAAAGCCCATATCAAAATAACAAATTACATTCTCTATTAAAGCAATGCGAGGCAACTACAAAACCCCCATGATTACCTGCACTAATGCCAGCAGTAAATCTTTTTCTGTATCTTCCATTTGATAAGTAGTTCTATTGTTAATAATCTGTGCACTGTTCTGAATACAAATAAGTCAACTAGAATGCAGCACACACAAAATATATATACCATCAATATCCCTCACTTGTACTAGTCTTTACTTAGCTTTCCATCTCCTAGTAAACTTTTCAGGACAAATTCTACCTTGTTTAAATCATTTTTGCCCAACCAAGTCCATATAGATATGACAAAGCAGATTTGGCCCTTAGAGTTTGAATCTGTCTATTCTGACTGATTCCGTGCCATTTGGAGTTAACACACCACTCTCTCCATGGTCGATAAATAGTGAACAGGATGTTCATGTGGGAAAGGGAAAAATGTGTGATGACTCATTGAAAACAGGCATTGGCTTGAAAAAACACATTCATTCTCTTCTCATGTAATTCTAGCAAAATTACTGCTGCACTGTAAATAATGTTTTTAATGAATAGGACATAAGTGTAATCAGTCATCTCTACCTGTTAAAATTTAACAGCATTTTGACTCTAATACTATAGCGATGGTTTTGCACTTTCATCTGGAAAATCTTTCTAAGACTCTGTATCCCAGGCCATGGGCCAGTGAAGGCTGAGCATTTTAAAAAGGGGGACAGTCAGCCACCTACGAGACACTACTAGTACTTTCCCCTCTACTGTATGGATCCAGCTGTATGGCATGGCAATTACCCTGGCTCAAAGTGCAAGAATACGGCAGAAGGCTGTATTTCTGATGAACTTGAAAGGACGTGCCAAAATTATGTATCATAAAGTAACAAACACATTTAAAATATGAAATAACTGTAAGGCAGTGATCAATGTGTTATATATGTTACACTCTTCCCTTGAGACTAACTGATGCTGTAGCCACTAATATTGCTACCCCAGAAACCTGTAGCATGTTGACTACACTATGTCAAAATAAAAAAAAAAAGTCACATTTGCTTTGCCTGTCATCTTGGATTTTCTGTTGTCCTTCAGCTATAGTACGTTAAGTTCAAGTTAAAGTACTCGTTTCTTTTTTAGTCCTTATATGCTTCCTTGATCATTCATATTTCTTTCCTTGGTTCCATTTACAATCTTTTCCCGATGGCCAAGCTTTAAAACAAAAAAGGTCACAAAACCAAAACACTTTTTAGACTTACAGTAAATGGTACACAAAAAACATCAAAGAATCCAACAGAAATGCCTAAATTATTGACATTAACTGAAAACATGCACTTTCAACCTCTTTCTTTAGTCTGAACCGTATCTTCTCTTTTATTTGCACTATCTTCCTTGCCTTCCATAACATCAACACCAGTTCCTCTTGCATATTGAAAGGGGAAACACGCCTCAGTATGGAGATTTCCTTGCCCAAGTTTTGCACTCACTCTCTGCAAATGAACCATATTGACACACTACATGCAAGTGAAAGCATTCAAAGACATTTCACAACATTATGACTTGTAACTAGCCCAGCTTTCTCTGAGATACACGATAGCAGTAGCGTATCAGAAATAAAACGTGTATATCCCCGAGTATTTCCTATTAAGGAACTCCTACAGCCTAAGATTTGGCAGGAAAATCTGAGCTCCAGTTTTGACAGCACTGCCAAAAATATTGTAGGACCAGCATTACACAAGGGAAATAATGCACATAGTACAGAAAAGGCTGAGGAACTCTGATGAATTTTTAAAGATATACCATATCTCATCATATTTTAGTACATGTCCACAGAGTGAATTCTGTTGCAGAAGGATACCTTGTGAATTCCCAGGGAGACTTAGGATAAAAGCAGGGACCCTACTAAGCTGCTTTCCAGCATACTTTTCTACCTCGATTTTAACATTCTGAGCAAGCTTGCACTGCATCCACCCCACTGTGCACATGCAAGGCCAGCAGACTTCATTGAGCAGCTTTATTATTACGCATTAACCTTAACTTCCTCCCGTGGTAGAATGGAAATTAAGTTTTAACACTCCTGGCCTTCCCAAAGCTTTGTTGAGCAAAAATTGTTAATCACTCCCAAATACGGTAAGTCAACATTCTCCAAAGACTGCTGCATCTAAATCAATAACTGCAACTTCAAGCAGCTTTTAACTCCAGTTCTTAAATGAGATTCAGAGTTTGACTGTGAATGCTACTGCTAAACTCACAGAAGGTGTGCATGGGCATCTAAGAGCAGAGCTCAACCCAGGCAGGATTAGTGAATTCATGTTACTTGTTCTTGTCCAAACTGCTGGGGCATTCAGAAATGTACGTTCGTTACACTTCATATTTTGGTAAAACTGATGATGAAGGTCTGGAATACAAAAGGTGGGATAAAAAGGGTGGGATTTTTTTTCATGAAGCTATTGTTTTGTGTCAGTTGTTTTCCTTCTTTATTCTCCAGATGATGCATACTTACTACAGGGGCTTAATATTGAGGAACTTTATCCAGAGACCTCTAGTTTCATTACGTATGATGGGTCAATGACAATTCCACCCTGCTATGAAACGGCAAGCTGGATAATAATGAACAAACCTGTCTACATAACAAGGATGCAGGTAAAAATAATTTTAAAAATTACTCGATCTAGCATAGGTACAAAAGAACATTTTAAACGTATGTATTTGTAGCTTCACAATCAAAAATCAGAATCAACCTTTTCCTGTAGAGATCTCTGCCTGCAATTTATACAGTTTGCAAAAGCATTGAAGAGTTTTCTGCCAAAATAAAAATATTAACTATTCAGAGCTCTCTGAGTATGTATACACACATAGAGGTATTTCGTGGTGGACCCTACTTTCAGTGAGGGTTTCAACCAAACTGTTTCCAGCAGTCTCTTCCAAAATTAATTGTTCTATGATTCTGTGAATAGACATACGGGGATTCTAAAACAAATATAGCAGTGTTATACTTAATAACCTCTGTTATTTTTCTAAAATAGGCCATTCTTAGGTCAGAAAGAAACAGTCAAATTGTGAGTGACACTTGTGGCCATTTAAATACATGTCAATAGCACATTAATGTGACAGAGATCCAGTTTATGAGGCCTTCTTGAAAAAATCAGCTAGTACTTTCTGGTATCAAGTGACATGGCAGGATAGACATTACAAATATTTTTAGAAAAATCAGATTGACAAATTGAAGCCCCTATTAGAAAGGAGCAGGATAAATTATGGAAAAGAAAATACATTTAATTTCATAGTCAAAAATGTCCTGTTAAGGAAACACGCCAGTGTAAAAGCCATAAAGACTATATTTCTGTATGACTTGCAAACCAAGGCCTAACATCAGAAAACAAGAAATTTAACACCAGTTGCAGCCTTCTCCAGAGCTTCCATAAGTGAGCTGCCTATGGAGCTGTGAGCTGAACTAAAACCTATTCTCTTGCGTGCTAGAATCCCAAAGGAATACTTGAACCACCATCTGCCTGTCCCAAGCATGCAGCAGAAGCAATCTGTCCTGAGAAATGAAACAAGGAATGATAGAACAACTCTAAATATTACTTTGGAATTTAAAATCATATTAACATTGTAAATAAGACGACTTTAAAAGCCTAAGATATGTTTTATCTTTGTGATATTCCTTCTGTCCAATTTTCTCTAGATGCAGAGAAAGCACTTTGTTTCTTTTCTGAATGGGTAGCTGGGGAGAATGACACAGCTGAGCGTAGCCAGACATGCTGTACATTCTGAGCTTTTCAAGCAGAGGACCTGAACATTTTCCTACAAGCAACATTTTTAATTACAACGCTGATGTACAAAACAACGATTAGAATATTTCTAGCCCATACTGGTACCCATGGGTTATAATTTCATGATACTTACTCCTTGTCATGCTTTACTGGTCAGTTACATCCTCCATTATTAGTGTTGCAAATTGATTTCATGGAATACTTACTAATTACATTACGTACTCTGACTGAAATAGTAATGCACAGCTCAAGTTTTTCCTGGAAGCTGTAGAAGATTTTCAGTATGTAAAACCCAGCTACTGGATTTCCCCATTTAGGTATTAAAAGCCACAACCAAGCCTCTTCAATTGTACACTGACATGGAAATGATTTTCTTTTTATATTTGTAAACCAAAATATTTTGAGGGTTTCTGATTTACAAATTGCATCTTCCCCCTCCTCCCCCCTCCTCCAGTTTCCTACACAAAGTTTGAAAGGTTTTGGTTGACTTGAACCAATTAACATGCTTTCAACACAGTTCCATAGTCATCATAAGAACCATTGCTCTCTGCCTATAGTTTACATCCAACCACTGCTGGGTGCACTGAAAATCATGAATGATTCAGTAATTCCTTTACTGCTGATCTATAAAACCATCTCAAAAGGCCGGTTTACCAGACACAGCACGGACAGAATCAAGACAGACCTGTCAATGGAAAGAGGATTTCACTTTTTACCATCATTAATTTCATTACTTCAGCAGCATGACTATCAGTTGTCCTTTCCATCCTGACTGGCCATGCCTGGGTCTTGCGTACCATCATCCAAAGCTGTGTCTTCTCAGCTGCAATCTACACTAATAGCTACAAAACTTAGGAAATTAGCTCTTGTAATTCATCAAGTTCATTTTCTCTGCATCAGCTGCTGCCATCCAGTACTCTGGATTCCATTTGTTTCCTGAGCAGCCAAGGACACCTCATACCATTTTCATTTACTCCCCACAAAACTAGTTACTTTCATTTAAAATGGGGCTCAGAAACAGAGGACCGTGGAAGGAACGGTTTTACCTCAAGTTAACTCTTTCAACGCACCACTGACTACAAGTCACTGAAATTCTGTTCAACTTTCATTTATTAACTAGTCTATTTAATAGTGTTGTATGTTGTTTATTTACGAGAAAGACCAGTACTAAAATCCTTGTTTTGTATTTTGTATAGATGCATTCTTTACGACTGCTAAGCCAGAATCAGCCATCACAGATATTTCTGAGCATGAGCGACAATTTCAGACCAGTCCAGCCTCTCAACAATCGATGTATCCGAACTAATATCAACTTTAGTTTACAGGGAAAAGATTGTCCAAACAATAGAGCACAGAAACTACAGTATAGAGGTACGTTCTACCTCCAGAATAATCCTTTCTCTGCTTACACTGAGCTCTTTTCTTTGAGAAACCCAAGTTCTTAGCAAAGCATACAAATAAAAACAGATGAAACTCCAGATCTGGGGGACTAATGGTATGAGTCAGACATTACATCTTTGAAACATGTGAGGAAACTTGCCCAGAAACACGCAGGAAAATCATGAAAAACCCCATCTGGGACATCTAATACATTTTGAAAAACAGATAGGACAGGCCTTCAGTTTTCTAGCCTCATTTTAAAGTCTTCTCACCTTACAAAGTGCTTTTTGCTCTTTTTTAACCACCTTTGAAAAAAATAAGGGGGATAAGCTAGTCTTGATGACAGCTGATCTCAAACAATAGAATAAATTTCACTTTAGAGTTACACACCATAACAAACACCCAGATTGGAGAGTTTTGTATTATGCCATGGATATTAAACAAAGGAACCAACCCAGCCTCCTGCTGGTAGAGTCCTACTGCCACAGCTGGGGGCTTGCAGCTGAGCTGTGATGTATCTTATCCATCTTCTATCCTACGCACACACAGTTACATTACCTGTGATAATGGTGTAAAAGTGCCTTCTTACCAGTAATTCAAGGAGTACAACTAAAGAGCAGAAAAGAAAGCACATTTTCAGCAACAAGGCTGGTGACTGAGTTGTAATAACTTCAAAGAAACAGTCATTCAGGTTTAATTCTTTTCCAGAAAGAGGAGGAAACAGCCTCCTGGCTTTTTCAAGACAGTTTAAGTGCCTAATACTGTATTAAATCCAGCCATTTTCACATTTGGAGTTTATTAAAGCATAATTGGTTTTGTTTTGTTTCTCTTTCCTTTCAGTAAATGAATGGCTCCTCAAGTAAGTAAGACAGAGCAGGCAGAACCCATAACCTCAGTGGAATGCTACTACTGTGAATTGACATAATCTAGAATGCACCCAACCTCACTCTCTCTGGGTTCGCGGCAGCACGTGCAAATGTGCTGTAGGAAGAGAGCTGCCATGTTGGAAATTCAACTAAAAATTCATTCATATGATTGGTGGTAATTAAAAAAAAACAAAAGTAAAAAGACAGTATTACAGTAAGTGTGATTACAATTTTGATACAATTTTCCTGAACTAATTTAGCTTCACAGACTAAAGACTTTTCAGCCTTTGTACATATGAAATTCTTCCTCTTTTCCCACCCTCCCTCAAATTATTAAAAAAAAAGGAAAGAAAAAAGGTGGCTCGGTACAGCATCAAAGTGGAGTTGTGTTCTGTGTGCCAAGTAACCCTTGGAAAGCTCTCATTTCACTGTCATTAATGGATACTGACAAGACAGAACAAGACGACTGTAGAGGAAATATTTCTAGGTTATGATCTTTCTGTTCATTTAATTAAAAGAGGGACAGACTTTAAGAGATAAGTATTGTAAATATATCACTGCAGAATATAAAGGAAATTGAAATATTTCCCTCCTTGTCACATATCTGTAGTAGGATTTGCCAAAATTAGAATTGATCCATTTTCTGTTTCTTGTTTTACAACAGGTCATACGTTGTGTTGGTTACTATTAACAATTCAATAAATGTGTTTAACAAATTAATTTAGTAAACTTGCTTTGATTTATTTTTCCTTTTTGAAATAATAAGCTTCTACTACTTGTGGCTGCATTATTTGTGTTTTTCTTTTTTTTTTTTTTCCCACCCCCCCCCCCCTTTTTTTTATTTGTTCGCAGCCGATGTAAGTGAGTTAATGGCAATTGGGAATGCACTTTAAAGCTAGTATAACTTTAACTCCACTTTATGGTCCAACATTAATAGGAGCTGGACTCAGAAGCAGAAAGCAGTTGAAACATAGCTCAGTTCAAAATTGCTGTTTTCCCTGCTGAATCCATTATTGGGACAAACAAATTCAAATCACACAAGTCCTGTAAATTGGTGGTGGAAAAGGATTTTTTTTCTTTACAGATAAAGCAGGAGCTGATCAAGTAAAAGCAAATGCCTTTTTTCTTGTTTATAATGGTCATTCACTGTGTTTGGTTACTGTCAAGAACTCAATAAATGTGTTTAACAAGTTCACATAGCGCATGTTTGACCTTCTTGCATATTAAGGGGTATTTTTCTTCTTAAATTTTTATCTGGAGAGTGGTCAGACCTTATGCTATTCTGTTCCTAATGCTCACTTTATAACCCATAGCATGTTGAAGATCATGAAAAATAAAATTAAGCTAGAGAAGTACAATGCCTGACCAATGAATTGTTTATACCAAATTGAAAAATAGACACTACAAGAAGCGTGAGGGAACTGAACCACGGTAAAGAAGTTACAGATGTGGCAGGCCAACTAGCTTTGACATGACAAACACATTATTTCATCTTTGGCTAAAGAGAACAGTATGGGTGGCATCAGATGGGAAACTCTTCAGTCTGTTGCAGACAGAAGTTTGAAAAGATTGCATCTTGTGTGAGTTCATCTGTGACATGAAAGGGAAAGTTATAAGGAAAGTGAAGACATGCATGGGCTGGCATGCAGGGGACTCTCAAAGTAGGTACATGGATGTAGATTTCTGTAAGGTATTTCCTGTAAGGAATCCAAAGTTGTCAACCATTTAATTGCTCAGTGAAGGGTGGAGAGAAAACATTAGAGAAAGAGCAGCAGTTGGCCTAGACGAGCTGTGACAGTGATGCCGTTTTTGTAGCAGAGTTCTGGCTGATGACCCTGGCCCAGGATTCTATTTGCACGTACACAGTACCTGATCCCCGAGTTATTTTATTTTGAGCATTTCAAATTGCTTCCATATACCAGCTTAACAGCGTACAGTGATCTGAAAAATCCACAACATAACCACAGAAATGTCACACAGCGACTATTACATTCTAAATTAATATTGTCAAATTCTAGCTGAAATTTTTTAGTGAAAAAGCAAAAATTTTCACCTTAGATTTACCTAGCTAATAAAAAATCAAAACCAACACAAGTCACACACATCTCATATTTTTGAGTTGCCATAGTGATCTCTAACTTTTAAACTTGTGGTGTCAGGATAGTTTCCACTACTTGTTTGGGTGGTTTGGGATTTTTGAAGCTTCTCCTAGGACTGGTAAGGTTGTAGAGTAAAGTTACTGAGAGCACAAAGTCCGCAATGCTTCAACCTGTATTTTTGGACAAATATCTGGCAGTTGTTGATCCAAGTTTGTCAGTGACAGAAGGTAGGGAAGATAAGCCAGGCCTCCATTATAAAACTTTTAATAAGTAATAAAACCTATTTTCCATTTTTTTGAAAGCTGATTGAAGGGATTTAGAGGAGGGAGAGATATGATAGAAGGGACTGGTCCTAGGAAGGAGTCATGCTGTGCTTTGGATTAGGTGAGGCTGCAGTATAGAAGCCCTGCAAACAGAGAAATGAAGCAATCGTACTGGGACACCACAAATATATTTGTCAACATTTCCAGCTCCATTTTGTGAGCTAATGAACTCCACTTGCCTTGAGTTCTTTAGGTTTTTGTTTTAATACTAGATTAGAGTAGAAATAGACCAAACCAAAGCTTTGAATGAAATATCTTCCATATTTCTCACATTTCAGTGCTCATATCCAGACATCTAGCTCCAGTTTTTCAGATCAGGCTCATTTCTCTGCATCAAGAGACACTGAGCATCCAAAGAAAGCCACAGCTTATCACAAAGCCTTTAAGCAAAAAGATAAAGTTTGAGTATCAAACAACCAGCACAGAGACAATCTTCCAGTGTTCAGAATCTACGCAGCACAGCAACACGTGCACACACAAATCCCTCCAACTTGAGTGCTTTCTGTCCACAAGGCTCCCCAGAAACCTGGCTGCACACAGAGCTCAGTACTTTGTAGTAAGAGCTGAATTTGTAGCCTTGATCCTCATCCCTGCCCGAGCCATCCAGATTATCAATGAGATTCTTTGCCTGTGATAAGGCTCAGTACAGGCATGAGCTACCTGGCAGGGAATCTATACCTGGCAGCGGTCCTTGATGAACAATCAACACCACAGGCAGGATCAGGTTGCCATGACATGATGATGACAGACTTTAAGAACCTAATACTGGAAAGAAATGCTCAGGTTTGATCTTCTGCTATCACAGTTAAGAATGTGATATCAAACAAGGTACTAAACTTATCAAGCTCATTTGATGATAAAAAGCATGGGAAAATTTAAATTTACAGTACTGTAAAATACTGTGTTTCACGTAGTATTCAAAGAAGTGTAATACCTAGCCAAATTTAATAAGCTCAGGTTTTCCTTTAAATTAATCAAAAGGAAAAACTACTTCTATACAGAAAATAAGAACTAAACAGGATCTGTGAGATGAAGACAGAAAACAAAGACCTTCAGCATAATCATATGGATAGATACCAGACATTTCTGTCCTTCCAACATTCTATTCCAGCCTTGAAAGCTCAACCACAAGAAAACATCTCAAGGATCTGACTGGAAGCTTGGATATTTTATTATAAAACAAACTCCTATGAATCTAAAAACATTCTGTCTCACAATTTAAAACCTCTCACTTTTCTGTAAAACATACACTGTGAAAGAAGAGAGGGCAAGGGAAATGGTGCTGAAAAACTGAGACCTAAGATCAAGGCGCTTGGCAGCCTCCAGCAAGGCTGGGAACAATTACACTTGAAGGTGTGCAAGGCTGTACTCCCCCGTACTGAACCAGAAACTCAAACCCAGACAAGCGACACAATCAAAAAGGTAAGTTGGCCAGCAAAGATCAGAGGAACTTGAAAATCACCTCAGTTCACATTCTTATGAACAGCACTGCTTGCTCTGAGCATCCATACACCATTCCATATCTCAGCCTTAAGAAACATCAACAGTAACAGCTGCTCTTGTGACATTAGTTTGTCAGGCACCTGAGATGCTGGGAGCCTGGTAGAAATGGGCTGCCCAGCAGCCAACACTGGTTTAAGTACATTACATCCAATGGTGTTTCAATCCATAAGACTTCTCAAAACAATTGTTATAAAGCAAAAAAAAAAAAAAAAAAAAAATTTAGGATAAAACTTCAGAATACATCCTGCTCTGACAGACCCTGCCTTTACTCTCCAAATTTTCGTTTTCTGGAGATTTCAAGCCTTGCTACTTCCAACACTCGCCCTCCCTTTCAAAATTGTAAGCAGATCCAAGCAATGCAGTAAAGGTTTAATCCACAGCATAACAATACTGCCATAAGAATACAGAAGTTGGCAAGTCTCTTCATATTAACTGTTGCTGGAATGTACACATTTCAGCTGCCGTTAAAAAAAATAATAATTATATGAAAAGAGCGGCTACATCTATTAGCTCATGAAGATAAGCTGGAAAGCAGGATATGATTTCACCAAAAAAGGCAAACACCAGAAAGCAAATAAAACCCCTCCAACATTTAAGGTATTCTTCATGATTCTTAATAGTAAGGAGGAGAAGTGTTGTAAGTTCTTTTATTTTTTAAAGTACTCAGGGTTAACAACACCAAAATTCCATCACAATCTGAAAATAAAGCTGAAACTTGCCTTCGCCTCTGCTTTCGGGAGCTGAACCTTCCCCAAAAGTGAGAAACTGAAGGGAAAACTGTAAATGATCAGTGTACTTTATTGCAAAGACAAGAAATGCAGCATAAAGGCAGATGTTTTGCATGTTCTGCTGTACATCTCAAAGCTTTAGTACTGGACACCACCCAAAAATTCCCAGATGTTTGATTCCTGTATTCAAAATAGTATAAATTTTTCAGGGAGATCAGCCATAACTATTCCATGTTTTGATTTTTTTTTTATTAGATTTTATTCCCTAGATGTAATGGCTGACAAAGTATAGAGCGTTCACAGTAAGAAATGTTGATTTACTAGCAAATGGCTTACTGCAGTTCTTAACAGCATACCGTAAAATTATTCAAGGAGCCTGTTTGCACAGCAAAGAACAAGAACCATTTACAATGCACAGTGTAATGCAGGCAAACATTTTCTGTTTCCTAAAGTGTCAGGCTTCTATTCTAATAACTAAAGATGTGTCAAACACATACTCAGAGCAGAAAATGAATAACAGGATAATAAATCTTCTAAGAATGGAAAAATAACCCTTAGTATTTAAGTAGAGCAAAAAAATCCTTAGAAGAAGTATTAGAAAAACAGAGTGGGGGGAAAAAAAAAAAAATCAACACAGTTTATGAATTTAGGCAGATGTTCCCACCCTGTAAGGAAAGAAAGAGCTAGAGTCAAAAGAAAATGCAAGTGAAACAAAGTTAAAGCTGCAAAAATACTATAGTTGCCCCAGAACAAAGGGTAAGGCTATGAACTCGACCTTTGGGGGGCTATTCCAAGCACAAGGAGACAGTCAACATCTAGCAAAGAGATCTTATTTTCTGAGACATTCAGGCATCCAGGGCATATTGCAGAAATGTGGCAGCAAGGGAAAGCAATGCTGAGTCATACTCAGAATGCA